AACTATCACACACAGATATGTTGTTAGTTTTTGCAGTAAGTAGAAAACTGTAAATTACTTTAGGAGCTGCTGAATGCACTGATCTTCATGGCAGATTTGAATGAGGTGTGTTGCTAAGCCTGTGTTTTGGTTTTGCTGCAGCACTCCTGGAAAGGATGGTTTAGGCTTAGGAGAAAAAGGGGTTCTCCAAACCTAGGAAACAAATGTATCTTGTAGCTTGGCTCTGTGTCAGAGCTGGATATACACACATGTATAGAGGTGTGTTTAGTGAAAATACACAGCCCAACAGCTTTCCAGCTCTCCAAGGGGCGGTGCTTCCGAGGTGCTTGATTTCAGGGAAGTCAATCCAGAGGAAGGGAAAACTGAGGGGGGTGCTTCTAGGGCTCTTGGACCCCCTCAGTCCCTGAATTGCTTCAAGTTGCCTTTGCTGGAATAATTGCATGGTTTATTTTCCCAGCTCCCCTTAAGACCCCATACTTGCATCCTTGGAAATTGCACTGAGTGTTTGCGGGTCATGCCAAGGTTATTTAAATCTTGCAAGGTCACCTGGACTCTAAATCATGGTAGCCTTGCACGGCACAGTGTGGTCCCTTCTGTTCCCTGATACGTCCTGGGTGATTAGTGGAAGAAACTGTCCCTTCAAGACCAACAAAAATATCTTCACTTTACAAATAACATTAGGGAGATTTGAAGGGGAAGGGCAGCGTTGTGATTAGCAAGTGCATTATGTGTTCAAATGCTTCTTTTAGGCAATTTCTCTTACTCCTGCTGTTGCTCAGAGGATTTTCTGTTCTGTCTGACATTGGAGCAGGGAAAGGCTTGTCTCTGTTCCTTTGCTGATGGCTATTCCTGCTAGGAATGCTTTTCCCTGCAGACAGCCTGGGCTGCTGCAGCGAGAATTCTTTGGTGACTAGATTGTTAAACTCAGGATAGGAAGCAATTAGTCACAGGGGTTTCCAGGCCATTGCTGGGCTAAACTCACACCCCCTTTGTTGTAAGGATGACAGGTTCTGCTCCTTCAGTCTGTGCAGACAGATCTTCCTTGTTCCATCTCTGTGCCACACAGATGTACTGGACGTATAGAGGGGAAAGGAAGCCCTAATTTCATTCAGATTTGGGGTTTGTGTAAAGAAATTTTTTTTGGAGAAGCATGAAAACAATTTTTCTCTCTTCTGGAAGCTTCATTCTAACATGAGCAATGTGTAAGTGCTCCAGGCAGTGTCCAGCTGATGTCACTCTTTAAAGCTGGAATCTGAATGACCACCTGCTTGCTTCCCTTCCTGCCTGGGTCCACTTTGTTGTTTGTATGGCAGGGCTGTAAAATTTGTTCCTTCCAGAATACAAAAAAAAAAAAAAAAATTAAATAAAACAATATATATTTTTGGAAGGATTTTTTGGGTGTGTGCATTGGATGAACTTTTATCCTGATATTTCATGTTATTGACCCCATGCTGCCAATATCACTGATCAAGTTTGAAGTTCTCCTCTCAAATCCCTGTGCTATGCTGGGAGTTACAAATATAGGAGTGCCAATGTTTTAAAATTGTACTTATTTAACTTGGATTATATAAAATAGATACATGATGGGAAAATACAGCAAAAGCTGCTGGTAATTACTTGGAGCAGCGACAAATTAGTTTGGTTGGATTATTGTAGGAAGAAAAGTGACAAATGCCCAGGTTGCCATAGATCTACCTAAGGAAAAAATACATCCTAGTGTTCTAGTGTATAACCATTCTGGATTGTCAGTATTCCATTTACAGATGGAAGGGAGTGGGGAGAGGGGAACTGGGAATAGCCCTAGAGAGGGAGGATGCCTTCACACATGAAAAACCTCTGACACTAGGTGGCATTTCTGGGATCAGGGCTCTACCTCTCAGCATAAGGACGGTTAATAATTTCTAACTCATGATGCAAAGCTATAGTTGAGTTGATCCAGCCTGCAGGAATGCTGACACAATTCAGGGGTGGTCTACAGCACACATAACCCATTTAGGAAATAATAAAACTGTAATAATTTATTTTTTTTCTTCTCCATTTGATACAAGAAACAATGTCTGTGTCAAATCAAAAGGGGGGAAAAAAAGAGGTTTATTTATGTTTAGATGACAGATTAAGACATACTTTATGGCACTGGACAGGTAAGGAAACTTTCTTTTTTAATTATGCTATTCAAACATTTTTTTGTATATTTAATATATTTTCCCTTAATTACGTAACAAATTTCCAGTTCAAGGTAATGTAAAATACATGTTTCATCATCTTAACATAGTATAAATCAAAACCAAAAAAATCTAATAAGTATGTGTTGCATCACATCTCTATACTGATTCTGAAGAGGAATAAACCACAGGAAAGGTCTTTTGAGTAGAGGAAGTGGAAAAAGGAAAGAGATACGTTCAGAAGGAAAAAATATAAAAGGGAAAAGTCACCCATGCTTTTGCAAAAAGAAAAATGACAAATGCAGCTACTGGAAGTCAAGAATCTTATTTTATATTTGTAAATCTTTATCTGGACAATCCAGAAAAATACAGTTTGGAGTCAGGCAATTCTGATGAAGGGTCTGGCAAGGATGAAGGCTCTGGCCAGAAGTAACAGCAGTATGGAGATATTCCTTATCCTGGTCCTGCAGCTGGATTAGGAGAGCAGCCTGGACATGGAAACAGCAGTCTTCACCTCTGAAGGATCTTGTCCAGTGAGTAGCACGCTCAGGATCTTTTTATATGGCAGCATCCTGGGATCAATGGATTGGGCATCAGCAGCTCCAGAACACTTTCAGCCGTGCCAGTTGCTCCTGGGAATACCTCACTGGAGTTGCATGGGCTCCCTCATTTACTTCCAAGCTTTTCCTGTCAATTTGCATCATCAGGTACTAGGAGGGGCTGCTGATACTTGCACCTATGAGGGAGCATCAAGATCTGGTTACAGGGTTCCTCTGTCTGGATTCTGGCAATTCTCAGGGAGGCTCTGGCAAGGATGAAGGCTCGTGCCAGAAGGATTGGAGGTGTGAGATACTCATTATCCTGCTCCTCCACAGTTGGCAGGAGAGAGCACCCTGGAGATGGGAACACCTGACTTTGTCACCACAAGATCTCTTCCAGCAACATACGGATGGTCTTCTCATACGGAACTGCCGCAGCTTCCTTGAAGTCTTGGATTGGCACCGGAGTCTTGACCTCAGTTGCTGCTGGGCCACCTGCTCCTGAGAATGCCTTACTGCAATGGCCTGGGCTACCACTCTTACTTCCAGGCTTTTCCTGGCCATGTGCATCCTCAGGGATAAGCAGAGTCCAGAGGGGTCACAGACGCTCAGGGCAGGATGATGGCTCTGGTCAGAAGTAACACAGGTGTGCAGGAGATATTCTCTTTATTGCTCCTTCACACATAGATAAACAGAGCACCCTGGAGATGGGAACAACTGCCTTTGCTGCTGGAGGACCTTATCCAGCACTGCACAGAGGCTCTTCCCATGTGGCAGCATCCTGAGAGCCATGGATTGGGCACCAGTGGCTCTCAGGCATCTTTCAGCTGTGCAACTGGTTTGTGGGAATGCTTTTCTGGGAGCCTGCAATAGGCTCATTCATTCAAGGCTTTTCCTTGCCAAGTCCATCCTCAGAGATGAGCCTCCCTGTGGCTCCAAGGGAGAAGGGAGACCTGTCCACAGGGATTCCTCTGTCTGGAGTCTGGCAGCTCTCACAGAGGTTCTTGGGAGGGATGGAGTCTCTTGCCAGAAGTAACCCAGGTGTGCAGATATTCCTTCATCTGCTCCTGCAGGACTGGGAACAGCTGCCTTTGCCGCTGAGAGATCTTGTTCCACATCACCCGTAGCCTCTTCCTACATGGAAGCATCCTGGGAAGCATGGATTGGACAGTGGCAGCTCCAGGACACTTGTTGCTGTGCCACCAGCTGCTCCTGGGAATGCCTTACTGCAATGGCCTGGGCTCCCGTTCTTAATTCCAGGCTTTTCCTGGCCATGTGCATCCTCAGAGAGGAGTGGGCTCTGCTGTTCCCCACCCCTCCCAGGCAGCAGGGAGACCTGTCCAGAGGGTCTCCTGCGTCTGACTGACTCCAGCAGGTCTCCCAGAGGTTCTGGGAGGGATGGAGTCTCTTGTCAGAAGTAACTGTGGTGCCAAGATATTCCTTCTCCTGCTCCTGCCATCCTGGATCGGGAGAGAGCCCTGGAGTTGGGAACACCTGCTGCAGGATTTTGTGCAGCAACGTGTGGAGGGTCATATCCTATGGCACTGCTGCAGATTCCTGGGAGTCATGGATTGGGCCCTGGGGTTTGTCTTGAAACTAAGAATTTATTTCTTCCATTTCTACAAACATGATTTTACACAAACTGTACAGAATGAGGTTTTCGTACCACTCTGCAGAATTTGACACAGCCTTACCCATGGCTGCAGCTCCTGCTCTGTCATGGGATTTTCCATGACCCCATGCACAGGCACTGATGCTTCAAGGTGTACCTGCTGCACCATGGACTTATCCACAATCACAGATCCTTCAGGCTTGTCCTTGGGCTTATCCACGGCCACTGATGTGGGTGTCCTGCTCTTGTGTGCACTCATCCACAGGTCACAGTTCCTTCAGCTGGAGTTCCAGACTGTCCAGCACAGCAGCACAGAAACAGCAGCAATGCCTGGCCACCTGCCAGCCCAGGTGTGTCACCACTGCTGCCACCAGAGTGTCCCCAGGCACAGCATAGTAAGATGAGAAGCACCAAAACCCAAATTAAGCCACTAACGAGCACTAATAACTAACAACCAGTGAGCCCTTGGCCAGCACAGGAGCCTGTCAGTGAACAGCTAAACAGCACTAACAGCTACAAATCCAGTTTAGCACATTCCAATCCAACCTGTTGTTCTCTCAAACCCTTCCAGCCCCACGTTGGGCACCAAAAAGGACAGTCAGGCTGGCAACTCAGCCCCACACAGCCACCCTCTCGCTGCCCTGCAGTGGGATGGGGGAGGGAATCAGAGAAGTGAGAAAACTCAGGTTGAGATAAACACAGTTTAATAGGTAAAGGAAAAGCTGTGCACACAAACAAACAAAATAAGGAATCCATTCCCCACTTCCCATCTGTAGGCAGGTGTTCAGCCACCTCCAAGAAAACAGGGCTCCATCACATGTAACAGTGACTGAGGAAGACAAACAGCACCACTCTGAACAATCCCCCCTTCTTTCTTGCCTGAGCATGATGCCACAGAGCTGTCCCACCTGTGTCCCCTCCCAACTGCTTGTACACCTCCAGCCCACTCCCTGGTGGGTGAGATGCAGAAGAGGCCCTGACACTGTAAATACTGCTCAGCAATGAGGAGAACATCTGCATTATCAACAGTCTCAGCACAAAGCCAAAACCAGCCCTATACCAGCTACTATGAGAAATTTAACTCTACCCCAGCCCAAACCAGCAGAGCTCAGTATCTGCACAAAGCAAGATTTGGTTTCAGCATCAAATTAATACTCAGTTGATCACATACCATATTTTCAGGGGCTGAGAATGTCACTTTTGAGCTAGACTAATTTATACCAGCTTTCACAAACATTTCCTTTAGATTCTAACCATGATTTCACATCACTGTCTCCAGTTCGGTATTTCTCCAAAAAGCAACAAACAATAAATCCTCCTCTGGGCTTGTTACTGACTGTAGGTTCTGACTGTCACAAGCAACTGCAGCAGACAGCTTCTTTCATAAAGACATCACAGAACTACTTTCCTCCTCTCCTAAATCACTGGAAACTGGTTCCAGAACTCTGCTACTGGGAAAGGTAAGGCCATCTCCCAGCGCTGGGGGATTTCAGGACTCTCAGTACATGTAACTTTTCATCTCCAAGGTAATCTGGGAACTGGGGAGGTACAGGAGGGAATTCCAGGTAGAAGAGTTTTCTAAAAAACGAGGCATTTCAGTGCCTCATTTCATTTACTTTAAGCACAGCGTTGCCTGCAAGTTCCTTCAGTACAGCAAGGATTATTGTCCAGCTGCCTTTTCTCCTTCAGAACAGCACAGAATGTCCTTCACACAACCTTGGTGTTAGTTTACCTGTGTGAATAAACTTCATTCACCTCAAAAAAAACCAAAACAAAACAAAACAAAAAAACCCCCAACCCTTTTCTTCTTTCTTTTCCCTGGATTCTGTGTCAGCCTTAAAATACCCCAGGGATGAGCCGGTAGGGCACCGCAGAGGTGTAGCGCGTCCAGTCCTTCCCATATTTGCTGGAACAACGGTGCTCGTCCCTGACACAGCGGTGGGTGAGCAGAATGGTCATATAAATGATGTAGAAGTATGGCAAGATGTGTGCAAACCCACAGGCCAGGCAATAGGCCAGCGAGCCCAGCAGGTCTCCTGTGTAGTTGAAGTGACGAGCCCACCCCCAAAATCCCGAGGTCATCAGCTTGCTGTAGTACTTTGTGCCATCCACGGACATGTAGGAGCACTCGATGTACTCGGGTTTCTTCCCCCAGATCCTGCAGTTGCCCTCTGTACGACGGAAAAGGTCCTTCTGGTGGTTGGTAGCTCGGAAGATGTAGTAGCCAATCAAGCCCAACATCAACACCCCCACGGCATTGGCTGTGCCCAGCTGGACGGGGTGGTAAACCAAATACAAACCCTGGGGAGCACAGAGACAAGAGTTGCAAACAGAATACAAATATGCAAAAAACGAAATACAAACAAAACTTGCAACATGTGCTCAGGATGCCAGACCAGTTACTTGACTACAGTGACCCACAACAGACGAGAAGAAAGGATGGAAAAACCCACTCCCAACACTACAACTGTGGAAAACTTGCACAAAACTCTGCATCCTACATTTGCCTTCTTTCTCTCTCCAAAATTGCGTTTTTTCGTGAAACAAGTAGAGAGAAGTTGCCAGGATGCAAACAAAGCAGGAGAGAAGGGAAAAAATCAAACAACAAAAGCCAAACCAACCACCACCAACCACAAGACCCTCAACATGCAGCAGCACAAAAAGAAACAAAGGATTTAGAAAAATACACAGACAAAATAGACAGTGACAGAAAAGGCCCAAAAGAAGGAAAATATGTCAATTCCATGCATGGACAGTAAACCTTCCTACAAGTGAATTGTTACAAGGAATGTTGTCATTGATTCTCAACACTCAAACTGTCTAGTAATTATTTAAGGTACAAATTATGCTGTTGGGCAGAATGTTTTTGGAAAGGTTCTTTCCTTTTAGCCTAAGTATGGATTGTACACATTTTTACCTGCAGAGTATAGAGGTAAGGCAGCCAGACACAGTCTCCCCAGCCTAAATACCATCCAAAATGATCATGGCAGATATCAATGGTTTTCAAATACCAGGCTTCGTTCCAAAAGAAGTCCACAACATAAATACCCTGCAACAGGACAATTTCCCATTAATAACAGAGCACAGTCACCACTTACCCTGTTCAAGAGCATCAGCCTAATCTCTGTGCTGTCTTGGGATATGATCTCAAAATTCACTTGTGAATTCCTTGCTAACATTTGAAAAACAGGGTGGTAAGAGGAACATATCACACCAGTACAATCCATCTGGATACACAACATCTATCAAGACAAAAATATGATGACTAAGGCAAGTGTCCTACATAAGGAGACACTTCAGAAGTGAACTCACAACTGACCACCCTGATCACTTTTCAGCTTAGAGCCATGTGGTTACACAGAGGGGGGACAGAGCTTCCATTGGACAGGCTTTCATTTACACAGATCAACGAGCAAATCCAAACTATGCCCTGGATTTATTACCTTGGGGTCTCTTCAGTAGAAAGCACAGCACCACATGGACTGTTTTGAGGTGTGCAGGCATTTGAAGTTCTGCCTGTCTCTCTCTCACACACACACACAAAGTCAGGTGTAGCACTGCCCTCAGAAAAAACCCACCCAATCTTGCCCCATCTAAAGACATAGATGTTTAATTTGGATTCAAGATCAGGCTATGCCTGCATCCAGAACAGAGGCTCAGAAAAGTTTCCACTGAAGTTTCCACTAAAATCTGGTGCAGACATGACCAAGGCACTGGTGGCACTCTGAAGGAACACAAGTGTCCAAAGAAGTCCCACTACTTCATCACTGAATGAGCTTGTTTAGGCCAATTTAATTTCCTGTCTAAGTTTAATTCCCGTGGAAGGAGGCTTTTCCCTACTTTAATATGAGTTCATTTCCAAACAGGTTTCTTAATTTCCTCCTTTGTATTTACCTGAAGGACATTGACAAGGATCATGGAGTTTGTCACTTGGCCATACAGCTCCTGTTGTTTGGCAGCATAGGAAAGGTTAATTAGAGTCCAGGCTACAATCCCAGGGCGCCCATTGAAGAAGAGCTTGAAATCAAACCACCTTCCTATTCGAGGGTTAAATTCAATGCCCATCATGTAGTCGTAAAAGAAGTTGCCAGTGAATTTGCTGGAAAGCACGAAAAAATAGAAAAGTGCACAGTTATACACAAATACAGTCAATTACTATTGTGACTACACTTTCAGATTCATGTGATGTAGTGATGATAAAAATCATAAACCCATGTAAGATTGTGGAAGACAACACAAACTGACCCAACCAAAGTATTACATTAATAGAGGTAAATTTTAGAATTTCAGAAGTGTCCTGCTTTACTCTTTGTAATGCTTTTGAACAGTCTAACTATAACTTTATTTATAGGGTGGAGGTATCTGTGACACTGACACTGCCATTACATGTGTGAAACATGGAGGATGGTGCCAATGAAGCAAAGAACCATAGTCAAATATTAGCTTATATATTATTTGTGCCAGTCATTCAATTTATATGTCCAATTTTCATTTAACTGTTTAATAACTAGTATTCTCTCACTACTCAGTCACATACCAGTCTTTGGCATTGGTAGGGAAGAAGTAGCCTTTAATCATGGCAAACGTGGAAACTGCATATCCCAGGATATTGGCACACCACAGCAGAGGAATCCAGTTGTCAAAAATGATGGTAGGGGAGAAGAGGTGGAAGTAATAGGCATTTGCAAACCAAAGCACATGGGTAATGATCCAGGCCTGAAGTCCATTGATTTCATATTTATTCACTACACCTAAAATATGAAGAAAAAATGGACTCTTTAGCAACATTACATTAATACAGCTTTTTATTATGTATAGAAGCTCAAGCAAGTGCTCATGACACGACATGACACTTTTCTGAAGGTTACCTTAGGCTCTGCTGTAACCATTAGGCTTTGTTAGGCTGAGTTTTCTCCTCACAAAACTGAATTTAGAATCTCCCCCAAAACTGATGAAACTAAGTGACCCTTTCTAACACTTGCTTCACATCACCCATTTGGTTCCAGTCTCTTGGGCTAACGTAGCTCCAGCAGGTACAACTGCTTCATCACATACCAGCAACAGTCCACTGATGATTCTAAGTGCCAAAATTATCAACTTTTCCATTGCTGGTGTGCTGCCTGCTGTATCAATAGTTTTACTGGCAGCAAGAGAGAGAAATTCTATAATTTATTCTACAAGAAGACACAGGCTGCTACCTATTTGGCTTTCAACTAACACATGAGGGAGGTGAGGGCACTGACATCCACATTTCCTCCAGCCACAAATGGACTATCAAAGACTGTAAGTACAGAAATACTCTGATTTTAAGAGACTGGATGGTGTGAGTGTATTCTAAGGAAGGCCTTACCAGCAGGGGTGACAGCACCTTCCTGCACACCTCCCACATATCCAGGAAGAAATTTATGGCAGAAATCAGGAATGAACACATACAAAACCACCTAGAAGAGAGAAATTGTATTAACAGACAAGACAATACCCCTCATAGTACTATTATATATACACCAAATATACTCTGCAGTTTCTAATAAATATTGGATAAGCAAATATGGCAATATTTAGCAGTTGTGATTTTAGACTAGTAATACATCCAAGCTAATGCACAACTCTAAAGATGTATTTTCTGACAGGTTGTTAATCCTTTTTTGGTGGGGAGGCAGGACAACTGCTAACTAGATTCAGGTCCTCATCCTTTTATTTTGAAATTAATCTGAGTTATAAGTGTTTCCCAATTAGGAAAAAAAACAGATTTGCTAAGTTCAAAGATATTTCACACACATAAGTTAAATTTCATTTGACAGCCTTCTTTTACTGCCTTCCTATAGAAACTATCAGCCCTTCTGCAGTGCTTTATTGGGTATGAATTTAAAACAAATGGGTATTGTTTTCCTATAGCACCTTCATCAAGGATTATGTCTCACAAAGAATATTTGTGTATATTCCCCATACACTTATTTTTCCAGTCCATAAGCGTCACTTGGATTCCAAATTCCATGGAAAGTGAGAAACACCAAAGAGTAAACCCCAGGGCTACATTCCACTATCCTTCATGTAAAAGGATTCATCCAAGAACTGTTTGAAAAACCAGACCCTTCATCAGTTCATAACTCAATGATGTACCTGGAAAGCCACCCAAAGGGAATAGATGCCAGCAGCCCTGTAGGTCAGTGTGGGAGTCCTGTTCCAGATGTCAGACAGATGTTTGTTCCCTGTGAGCAAGTCCCTGAGGGGATCAGTCAGAGAGCACTGGTACTGGTCACAGGACATGATGAAGTAATACACAATCAGTGGGGCAAACAGGAGCAGGAAAAGGATGCTTGCCAAGGAAAACCAATCCACCTCCCTGCAATCCAAAACACAGCAGTTTTTCCCCTGGTTTTCAGGTAGAGAAGTGGTTTAATTATATCAGACAATTTTTTTTCAGTGGCCCTTCCAGACTAACCAGATGAAAACTGGAAATGCTTTCAGGGCACACACATTTCTGTGGGTCAAATAGCCATAAAAAATTTAGCACTGAACATAGAACACACTTTACCTCAAACTGTTATTAAACTACTCTACTCGATCACAGCAACACATTAGACATTATCTCCCCTTGGGAAAGCAGATTATTATTACAGACTTCATGGCTTTGATGGCAATTGTGCCTAGAGCTAGTAGAGTATTCAGCTGGAAGTGATAACAGAATCCCAAGAATATTACAAAAAGCTTGGGAAGACAGAAAAGACAGACCTTGGATGGCCAGGAGTTAAACTCCCTGTCCCACACGCTGTCTGGAAAGCCACAGGCAGCCGTGGCTGTTTCCAGCTGCAATACAACACCCCACCAACACCTGCCCAGCTCTGGGAGAACAGGGTTATCAGCCATAAATCCTGCTACAGCAGGAGTTGTCAGCTGGGAATACACGGATGCCAGGATGCCTGCTTTCCAAAGCTCAGGAAATATTTTGGTCCTTGAAGGAACTACAAATTTTACCAATTTTTACGATTCACTTTCCTTTTTTGCAAGGAGGACTGTGTTTTAGCCCAAGCCATCTGGCAAGCTCTCTGCCTCAAAAATCTTGAAGGACTCTCGTTTGGCATCTGTTGCTACAGGAAATTATCCATGAGCCTTCAAGGGCAGGGCACTACAACAGTCTGTTATTAACAGGAATGGAGCAACTTTAGGAGTTAAGTATGAAGCACTTGGAAATACAAGGACTAATTAGGGTAATCAGCTTCTCTCACCATGCTCTTCCCCACTGCACTTGAGAGGTTTGAGTATCATTTTGGGTGGGTTTGTGTTTTCTTTCTTGAGCAAGTTTCTTCTCCTGATGGGCTGCCATGATATCTTCTAGGAAAGAAAACAATTCATTGCGTTACACCAGCTTGTTCTCAGTAATGCCTATGGCTCCACAAGAGAAACACAAATAACAGTTATTAAAAACTCTTCTATAGCCTTCTGATTACAAGAAATTTGGGGGTGTAGGGAAGGAAGGAAAAAATCCTTAGCAATTCCTTACAAATTTATATTCAGCAAAACGTAATCAAAACACCGATGTGGAACTAACCCGTTAAACTTCTTGCTACCTGGAAACTTCTTTTAAGATATATTATATAATATTATATATGGCACATTATTTACATGTGAAATGCAAAAGGAAAGAAAAATGTTTCCTCACATTCTTTAAACCTCTGAAAATAAATTTCTGTATCTAATTGCCTTCCTTAATTAGAGGAATGGCTAACATTATCTGTAACATTGTAACATTAAATGTAACATTATCTGTACTGGACCCTGGTAAAGATGTACTTTTGTCAAGATCCCTTGCTCCAGTTGTGCCAGCTACATCAAAGAAAACAGGAGATAATCTCACCAAAGTCAAAAATCAGCTGTTATGGCAGTTGACACTCTATGGGGTTTAGCACTGGAGCTGAATCTCTGTGGATCTCTGGTACAGAACAGTGTATTTAATGAATGGTGCTGTTGCTGAACTTCCCTGAGCAAGTTGCAATTGGCTACTGAGGCCGAAAGATTCAGTATAAGGATTTTTATCTTTTGAAACTACAGGCTGAATTTTAGGGATAAATTGCAGTATGGAAAGTGGATAAAACAGAAAATAGTGTTTCTTCCTAAAATAGATTCGAAACAGTCCACTTAGGGAAAACTTACAGACTTGTAAAACTCACAAAGCTCGAAGCCTGCTCAGCGTATCTGATTCCTCATCTCCACTGATCAGCAGGAACTGGACTCTCTCCTATTTCAGCGTCTCATCTGTGTACACTGTATTAAGGCCTCACAACTTCTTAAGAAAAGTAGCATTATAATCTCACATTTCTGGAAAGGTTTCCTTAGCAGATGGGTTTAAAAGCAAAACTTTGTTGCCATGACCAATTAATGCACAGCGGGGCTATAGAGCCAAAGGTTATTTCTGTTGCTAGTTTTGCTACACCCTCTGATAACTTATGTCCAGATCAGTGCTGGCAACAAGAATTCCCACTGTACACTTGTTTCATTTTTCAGGCTTTGCATTTCAAGAACGGTGAGTTTTTATTGGAAACTCTGAAATGGTTGTAACTCACAGCTCCCGCCGCGGCCCCGCTCGGCTCTGGATGGGGAAGGAACGCGCCCATCCCCGGCCCGACACCCCCTGGGGGCCGCGCACCGGGGGTCCCTCACCAGGGGTCACTTACCAGGGGTCCTCACCAGGGGTCACTCACCGGGGGTCGCTCACCCGGGGGGACCCTCACCGGGGGGGGTCACCTACCGGGGGTCGCTGTCTGGGGGTCACTCACCAGCGGCCACTGACCGGGGGCGGCGCACCGGGGATCCCTCACTCGGGATCACGCACCAGGGGCCGCTCGCCGGGAGTCCCTCACCCGGGACCGCGAACCGAGGGCTGCCGGCCGGGGTTCGCTCAGCGGCAGCGCTCCCGTCCCCGCGCAGCGCCGCCCGCTCCAACCTGTAACTGACCCGCGCACCCTGGGCCGGTGCCGGCCTCGCCTCTCGGCCCCGCCCCCGCCCCACCGCCCCGACCAATCCCCGCATCGCCCCGCCCACCCCGCGCCCTCCCATTGGCTGCGCGCGCTCAACCCATGGCGCGAGGAGCGCGCGGGGAGGGTTCGGCGGCTCGAGCCCCGCGCTGGGGGCGTTGGGTGGAACCTGGGAAGGGACTCCCGGGAAGCCTTGAGGGGGCGGCGGGGACCTCGCGGGGAACAGGCAGTTACTCTGTGGCTGCGCCCGCGACAGCACCCGGAGCAGCCTGTTCCGTCTGGGGGAAGAACCTTTTTCTAATATCCAGCCTAAACCTCCCCTGACACAACTTCGGGCCGTTCCCGGGGGTCCTGTCACTGGTCACCACAGGGAGGAGATCAGTGCCTGTCCCTCTTGTTCCCTGCACCGGGAAGCCGTAGGCTCCAGTGAGGTCTCCCATCAGTCTCCTGTCCAAGGAGGCACTTTAGACCTGCCCTGGGTCACAACAAAGCCCTGCAGCGCTGCAGGCCTGTCACTTTAGGTGGCCACAGAGCTCCAGCTTGTTACTTTTAGGCATCCACAGAGTCCCTAAACTGGATTGGACCACCTTTGCTTGTCAGCAAGTTCTCAATGTTCCACTGATCATTATAAAAAGTACCATTATCTATCACTTCAGTATAATTTGCACTAGCCTGGTGGGAAAGGGCCTGGGGGAGCTGGTCAAGAGCAGCTGAACACCAGCCCAGGTGGGCCCAGGTGGTCAAGAAACCCAATGATGTCCTGGCCTGTCATCCACAGTGTGACAGAAGGGCCAGGGCAGTGACCATTCCCCCAGCCGGGCACTGTTGAGGCTCCTCCTTGAACCCTGGGGTCGTTTTTGGGCCCCTTGTGACGAGAAAGACATTGAGAGGCTGGAGCGTGTCCAGAGAAGGGAATGGAGCTGGGGAAGGGTCTGGAGCACGAGTGTGATGAGGGGTGGCTGAGGGAGCCGGGGAGGCTCAGCCTGGAGAAAAGGAGGCTCAGGGTGGACCTTCTCACTCTCTACAGCTCCCTGACAGGACAGGAGAGCCAGGTGGGGGAGTAGTCTCTTCTCCCAAGTGATAAGCCGCAGGACAAGAAGAAATGGCCTCAAGGTGCTTTAGCTAGGCGTGCTTTAGCTAGGATGTTAGGAAAAATTTCCTCATGGAAAGAGTTTCCATGCATTGGAACAGACTGCCCAGGGCAGTGATGGAGTCACCATTCCTGGTGGTATTTAAAAGCCATGTAGATGTGGCACTTGGGGACATGGTTTAGTGGTGGGCTTGGCAGTGCTGGGGGAACGGTCGGACTTAGTCTTTAGGTCTTAGACTTCAGGTCTTAGAATCATACAATCATACAATCATAGAATCAGCTGGGTTGGAAGGGACCTCCGAGACCATCAAGTCCAACCCTTGATCCACTACTGCTGCAGTTACTAGGCCATGGCACTAAATGCCACATCCAGTCTCTTTTTAAAAATCTCCAGGGACGGAGAATCCACCACTTCCTTGGGCAGCCCATTCCGATGTCTGATCACCCTTTCTGTATAGAAATTCGTTCTAATATCTAACCTAAACCTCCCCTGGCACGACTTGAGACCATGCCCTCTTGTCTTGCTGATTGTTGCCTGGGAAAAGAGACCAAGACTTTAGGTCTTTGCCAACCTAAAGGATTCTACGATTCTAGTACAGAATAAAGTTAGAATCCAGTATGTAAGGAGGCTCAGGGCAGCCAAATATGGGATGAGGGGCACGAGAGAAGAGACTGGACCCTGAAGAGCCCCGTCCCTTTGGGATGAGCACCCTGAGAGCTGCCGGGATGTCACCGAAATGCAAACAGCACACAAAAAAAAAAAACATCTCACCCTGCTCCACCGAACCGCTCACACTCCGAACTCGGTTTGAGCGACACCTCTTAAAAGCTGCAGGGTTAAAAAAAAAAAAAAAACAACAAAAAAAAAACCGGCTAAGACCGTATCCCCATTATCCCGGGCTGTGGGGATGTAAAACAGCGGAGAGCGGGGGAGGGCATGCAGCAGCGCAGGGCAGCAGGGCCGTGTCAGATCTGTTCCCACGCTGCAGGTGCTCCGGGCGGGGCCGAAGGAGGGACCGGGAGGAGAGATCGGGAGGAGGGACCGGGAGGAGGGACCGGGAGGAGGGACCGGGAGCGCCGGCACCGCCCCGGAAGCGGCCGGGAAGGAAGGCGGCGGGTCTGCCATGGGCCGGGCAGTGACAGTGGCCACCTGCGCCCTCAACCAGTGGGCTCTGGACTTTGAGGGCAACCTGGAGAGGATTGTCAGAAGTGAGTGAGGTGGTGGTGGCGGCGGCAGCATCTGCCGAGCTCCCTGGCTGCCCTCAGGAACCTTCCCTCTCTCCCTGCTTCCCTCCCTCCCTTCCTTCCTTCGCCCCTTCCTTCCCTCCATTCCTTTCCTTCCCTCCCCGCCTCCCCCGAGTTTCCCGTGCCTGTCCTGGAGCCCCGGGCAGGGCCGGGCTTTACCCCCCCCGCTCTTCCAGGTATCGCCGTCGCCAGGAGCAAAGGAGCGCGGTACCGGCTCGGCCCAGAGCTCGAGATCTGGTAAGAGCGCTTTGTGGGCTCGTTTGTGAAAAAACAGAGTAGGAAAACCAGCCCCGCAGCCCCGCAGTGCCCAAAGCTTAGTAAATACTTCAAGCGTGCGGCTGTCGGCGCTGAGAAAAGCGCTGTAGTTGCGAGCGCAGGATTGGTTTGGCTTGGAAACCTGACCGGTACCGGTGACTTTTTTAACCTGTTTCGGCGAGTTTCCCTTCAGAGAAAATGTGGCGCTTTGAATTCTGCCTGAATGCTGCCCTTGTAAGGAATGTCGTGGGGCGATACAAAACGCCAGGGAGTTTTAAATGCTGTCAGTAGGGATGATGCTGGCAGCACTCCTTCCTCATTTTCTGTATAAATTACCTGTGTGGGTGAAATGTTCACAGTCTGAAGTAGTTCTGGTTCTTCACCTCCGGTGCTGATTTGGCTGAATTTTTGATTTCTTAATGTTTTTGTATGCAGTGGTTACGGCTGCTCGGATCACTATTATGAGTCTGACACACTCCTGCATTCCTTTCAAGTTCTGCAAAAGCTTTTGGAGTCTCCAGCTACTCAAGATATTATCTGTGATGTGGGAATGTAAGTTTTGGGGTTTTTTTGTGTACATGTGATAAAGGGGTAGGTCTTCAGGGAATGCTGCCTCTGCCGTGTTTCTGGATAGCGAGGGCTCTGCACCAAACTTTCAAATGCATCTTAGGAACTGCACTACTTTCCCTCTTAATTACCATGACTAGGACTGCAACATGTGAAACAGTTTCTGAAAGATAATCCTTTTAAAGATTTCGGGTGGTTGAGCCCTTCAGGAGACAAATAGGATATTTGTTATTTATTTGGAACCTTAACAGCTGGGCCCTATTGCCACAGCTCAGATTTTGTGTTGGATGTAACACCAAGGGCTTTATAAATTGACTGTCTTTTAGGAATGTTGGGGCTAAGGTGACTTGCTTTGACTGACAGACATCTTTAAGCAACCTAAGTGTGTGTCAAAATCACCGAAACCATTGTAAGTCATGTGCTGACAGTAACCAGTGATAAATTATAACTGTAAAATTAACGTGTACACCGAGGTGTTAGTATTGATTTAAATGTGTAACTGGTTTTGAACTGGGCTGATGGTATCATGGGAAGTCAGGTTTGACTAAATAAGTTGGCCCAGCCAAGGGGGTTCTTCTGGTCTGCTCGTGTTCCTAAGGCATGCCACTGCCTTAGGTAGTAGTTGTCATATCTGAGACTGACAGGATAGTCAGTAACTCTGATTTTTTTTTCAAACAATTACTTGAATTAAAAAATTAGAAGCTAAAACTTGATATATTGTTTTGCTTAATTCCTTTTAGTGAGGTCCTAAAAATAGGTTTTGTGCAGTGAAGTAGATTCTGTAGCTTTTATAATTTCATTTAATGAGCTTAAACTGCTTCTTCTTTTCACAGGCCTGTTCTGCACAGAAATGTTCGCTACAACTGTCGGGTGATCTTTCTAAACAAGTAAGTTTTTTACATGTTTTGTGAGATAACACATTAATGTATCCTTTCAGACAGCTATTTGGCCTTCAAGAAGGATTCTTCAGTGCTATGTAGACTGATGGACTGTATCTACTAAATTTTGAGAGAGAATTAATGGTTTTCACTGTCTCTTTTTTTTTTTTCTGGATTTGTAGAAACTAAATTCTCACTGGTTCTTGAAAGACTTAAAAAAAACCCCTTGAGTCTGCAAACAGAAACTTGAAAAGTGTTTGCATGTAGTAATTGTTCGGTGTACATCATAATAGGAAAAAAAAAAAAGAGTTGATCTCAACCAGTGTTCATATATAGCCTCGTTTGGCTGTACATCAGGTCTTAACTTGCCCTTCCTGTTTTGTTTTGTGATTTAAGGAAAATTCTTCTGATCAGACCAAAAATAGCATTGGCAAATGCAGGAAACTACAGAGAACTCAGGTGGTTCACCCCGTGGAGCAAAGCAAGGTATGCTGGTGACTGTTAAAACTGTGTTTAAAAACACAGCTGTTTGAAGCTGCAGCAGCAGCATTGAAATCTCTGCAGCAAATAATGATCTGTTTTTTATAGGTCTAGTTTC